TAGTTATGGAGCAAATCTTATACATCGTCCAATTCCAGAGGCAGAATACAACATGGGAATCTTCAAAAAGCGGGGTCCGGAAAAACTTTATTCGATAAAAATTATACGCATTGTATTCTGCGTATAATTTTATAACCTCCATTGTATAACCTTTTCACATCACAAATTAAAAATATAGAAAATTAGTGTAAATTTAGCACAAACATTATTCGAGCTCCGTAAAATTAGCAGTCCTAGATGGTCGGATCGGGTCCGGAATAGGCTCAAAATTCGGCGCTTTTTTGGTCCTGCATTTTTTTTTTTGGTGCTCTTATGGCAATGTCGAAAAACGCGTTTTCAAAATTCTGGCGTCAAGCTAACAGGTAAAATGACGAAATATGCACAAAAAAAAAATATACCTACGTAATAAAAAGGCGCTTTTTACGTGCTTTCGGATACTGAAGAGATGATGATGAAAAAATGAATTTTTTTTTTTATCGTAAAAAATTAATTTTCATGTGGATCACTAAAACGAAGGGAGTTTAGGTCATGTGTATGGCAAATTCTTGGAATTAAGAGCTACTAATTAAGATCAACAAAAATTGTCGTGCTACATCAATTATCCAATTAATCAAGGTGAGTCAAGAGATAAGGTCATCAGGGTAGGTTTCAGCATCCTCCGACCGGCTAGCATGCTTAAACACATTGAGCGCTACCAAATGGAGGCAATTGATAATTTAGTGCTGCATCTATTGTCTGAAATCTCATCAGGGTGTCTCGGAATTAAGAGCCAAGGTCAGCAGGGGTGGTTTTAGCAGCCTCTAAATGGCTCATATGCTTCAAAACATTAAGCGCTACGAAATAGAAATAGTTATTAATTTAGTGCTACAGCTATTGCCTGAGTTCTCATCAGGGTTCTGATGGATCAAGAGACAAGGTCAACAGGGGTAGTTTTAGCAGCCTCCAAATGACTGACATGCTTGAACACATTGAGCGCTACCAAATGGAGACGAATCAATAATTTAGTGCTCCATCTATTGCGTGACTTCTTATCAGGACCCTGATGGGTCAAGAGACAAGGTCATCAGGGGTGAGATTAGTAGCCTCCAAATGGCTCATATGCTTCAACACATTAAGCGCTACCAAATGGAGGCAATTATTAATTTGGTGCTACAGCGATTGCCTGAGTTCTCATCAGGGTTCTGATGGATCAACAAACGAGGTCAACAGGGGTGGTTTTAGCAGCCTCTAAATGGCTCATAAGCTTCGACACATTGAGCGCTACCAAATGGAGGCAATTATTAAGTTAATGCTACATCTATTGGCTTAATTCTCATCAGGGTCCTGATGGATCAACAGACAAGGTCAACAAGAAATAGATGTAGCACTAAATTATTGATTGTCTCCATTTGGTAGCGCTCAATGTGTTGAAGCATATGCGCCATTTAGAGGGTGCTAAACTACCCCTGTTGACCTTGTCTCTTGACCCATTACGATCCTGATAAGAACTCACGCAATAGATGGAGCACTAAATTATTGATTGTCTCCATTTGGTAGCGCTCAATGTGTTTAAGCATGCCAGCCATTTGGAAACTGCTAAAACTACCCCTGATGACCTTGTCTCTTGGCCCATCAGGACCCTGACGAGAATTAAGGCAATAGATGGAGCACTAAATTATTGTCTCCATTTTGTAGCGCTCAATGTGTTGAAGCATATCAGCCATTTAGAGGCTTCTAAAACCACCCCTGTTGACCTTGTCTGTTGATCCATCAGGACCTGATGAGAATTAAGCCAATAGATGTAGCACTAAATTAATAATTGCCTCCATTTGTTAGCGCTCAATGTGTTGAAGCATATGAGCCATTTCGAGGCTGCTAAAACCACCCCTGTTGACCTTGTCTCTTGATCCATCAGAACCCTGATGAGAACTCAGGCAATAGCTGTAGCACTAAATTAATAACTATTTCCATTTGGTAGCGCTTAATGTTTTGAAGCAAATGAGCCATTTAGAGGCTGCTAAAACCACCCCTGTTGACCTTGTCTCTTGATCCATCAGAACCCTGATGAGAACTCAGGCAATAGCTGTAGCACTAAATTAATAACTATTTCCATTTGGTAGCGCTTAATGTTTTGAAGCAAATGAGCCATTTAGAGGCTGCTAAAACCACCCCTGTTGACCTTGTCTCTTGATCCATCAGAACCCTGATGAGAACTCAGGCAATAGCTGTAGCACTAAATTAATAACTATTTCCATTTGGTAGCGCTTAATGTTTTGAAGCAAATGAGCCATTTAGAGGCTGCTAAAACCACCCCTGCTGACCTTGGCTCTTAATTCCGAGACACCCTGATGAGATCTCAGACAATAGATGCAGCACTAAATTATCAATTGCCTCCATTTGGTAGCGCTCAATGTGTTTAAGCATGCCAGCCGGTCGGAGGATGCTAAAACCTACCCTGATGACCTTATCTCTTGACTCACCTTGGTTAATTGGATAATTGATGTAGCACGACAATTTTTGTTGATCTTAATTAGTAGCTCTCAATTCCAAGAATTTGCCATACACATGACCCAAACTCCCTTCGTTTTAGTGATCCACATGAAAATTCATTTTTTACGATAAAAAAAAAATTCATTTTTTCATCACCATCTCTTCAGTATCCGAAAGCACGTAAAAAGCGACTTTTTATTACGTAGGTATATTTTTTTTGTGCATATTTCGTCATTTTACCTGTTAGCTTGATGCCAGAATTTTGAAAACACGTTTTTCGACATTTCCATAAGAGCACCAAAAAAAAAAATGCAGGACCAAAAAAGCGCCTAATTTTGAGCCTATTCCGGACCCGATCCGACCATCTAGGACTGCTAATTTTACGGAGCTCGGATAATCTTTGTGCTAAATTTACACTAATTTTCTATATTTTTAATTTGTGATGTGAAAAGGTTATACAATGCAGGTTATAAAATTATACGCAGCATACAATGCGTATAATTTTTATCGAATAAAGTTTTTCCGGACCCCGCTTTTTGAAGATTCCCATGTTGTATTCTGCCTCTGGAATTGGACGATGTATAAGATTTGCTCCATAACTAGCCGAATGTCCATGGATACTCAGCCCGGCTGCAATTAGTGTTGATGTGTCCTACCTTTTGTATATTTTTTTTTCTTGTGATCGTCAGCAGCGGACAACGATGAATGCGGGATATAGGGGGAGGATAGTGAATGTTTTTATTCATCTCGGTGTGCTGCGAGCAGTTAATCCATTTGCTCCTTGATCTGTCGCTGTCTCTCCATGATTTCATCTAGTTAAATGTTGGATTCGACTCATCTGGTAAAATATAAGGAAGCCTGCAAGTGATTGTGGGTCTCGAGTCATCGAGAGTTTATGGGCGGTTTGAGTGGCCTGGTGGTTAGTTTCATGGCGCATCACAGGTTCATTAGCATGTGATGGCATATTTTTTGACGGCCGGTTCCTCGTGGCTTCTCGTCTACGATGGAATTTCTTGTGACCTTGTCTCTTGACCCATCAGGATCCTGATAAGACCTCACGCAATAGATGGAGCATTAAATTATTGATTGTCTCCATTTGGTAGCGCTCAATGTGTTGAAGCATATCAGCCATTTAGAGGCTTCTAAAACCACACCTGTTGACCTTGTCTGTTGATCCATCAGGATCCTGATGAGAATTAAACCAATAGATGTAGCACTAAATTAATAATTGCCATTTGATAGTGCTCAATGTGTTGAAGCATATGGCCATTTGGAGGCTGCTAAAACCACCCCTGTTGACCTTGTTTCTTGATCCATCAGAACCCTGATAAGAACTCAGGCAATAGATATAGCACTAAATTATCGATTGCCTCCATTTGGTAGCGCTCAATGGGTTGAAGTATGTGAGCCATTTGGAGGGTGCTAAAACCACCCCTGATGACCTTGTGTCTTGAATCACCAGAACCCTGATGAGAACTCAGGCAATAGATATAGCACTAAATTATCGATTGCCTCCATTTGGTAGCGCTCAATGTGTTTAAGCATGCCAACCGGTCGGAGGATGCTAAAAACTACCCTGATGATCTTATCTCTTGACTCACCTTGGTTAATTGGATAATTGATGTAGCACGACAATTTTTGTAATCTTAATTAGTAGCTCTCATCTCCCTTCGTTTCAATAATCCACATGAAAATTCATTTTTTTAAGATTAAAAAAAAATCATTTTTTCATCATCTCTTCAGTATCCGAAAGCACGTAAAAGCGCCTTTTTATTACGTGGGTATATTTTTTTTTGTGCATATTTCGTCATTTTACCTGCTAGCTTGACGCCAGAATTTTGAAAATGCGTTTTTCGACATTTCCATAACAGCACAAAAAAAATGCAGGACCAAAAAAGCGCCTCAAAAGCGCCTAATTTTGAGCCTATCCCGGACCCGATCTGACCACCTAGGACTGCTAATTTTACGGAGCTGTTTATCCGCAAGTATAGTAATTGACATAAATGATAAAAATTAATTTACTTCAATATGTATATATATATATATATATATATATATATATATATATATATATA